TCTTTTGGGAGCAATTAATTTTCAATATCATTCTGTTCCTAGTGCTCGGAAGACGCTAGTTACTCCGTTATGAATGAGAGTGTCAGTTTATAATATTTATCATTTAATTTACGCGTAAATTAAATGATAAGTAATTTGTATTTATTATAAAGTACATGGTAAATGACACCCTTACTTAATGATAAGCTTTCTTGCATGTTATAAAGGTTTCATTTAATTTCTATAAGTTTTTTTTGATACGCATGGAATCTGCCTCTTGAAGTCTTGTGAAGTCTTTTGAAACCCAATGAAGTCTTCAGAAGTCTTCAGAAGTCTTGTGAAGTCCTATGAAGTCTTTTGGAGTCTTGTGAAAATATGAAGTCACTGCGGCTGAAGTCCGTTGAAGTCCGCTATTTCCCCCTTGATATTATACTAGAAAAATAAGAAGAAAAGAAAATATAGTTTAAAAGAACTATGACTTCTCATCCAACAAAAGATTTAAATCAACTTCGAATAACACCACAAGATGTCGTCGATTTAATTTATGATACATTAGAATGTTTACATGATATTCTGATGAAAAATAATATACCATATACAATATTTTGTGGTACTGCTTTAGGTGCTGAACGACATGGTGGTCTCATTCCCTGGGATGATGACGCTGATACAGCTATTTTGAGTGAAAGTGAACAAAAATTTGTGGAATTATCAGATATATTTGCTAGTCGAGGTTTTATTTTGAGTAAAGCATTATTTGTAGGATATCGTCTTTATCATGAAAGTTTAACTAAACTTCGTGCACACGATCAATATCCATTTCCATTTGTTGATATATTTTTATTAAATGATACAGGTACAAGTTATGAATGTTCAAGTAATGAAGCACGTATCTATTGGCCTCAGGTACCATTACTATATGGTTGTTTTGATCATCTTGTTAATGTTCAATTTGGTCATTTAACACTTCGTGGTTTATCAGCAAACGATATGAAACAACATTTAGACGATAATTACGGAAAAGATTGGCCTTATGTTGCATGGAGAGAATGGGATCATTATTTGTAGATCAACAAGACCATTACAATCATTGTTAGATCAAAATTCAGGATAAAGAATATAATCAAAAATAATTTTTTTTGCATATAAGTTGTTTTTTGTTAATTTGATAAATTTATGTTAAATTTGTATTTACTTGTATAAATGTCTATTTGTTGACGAAAAAAGACTATTACGAATTGTACTGATGTTACCTGACATTGAAAAGTTATTAAAAGCTTATTAGCGAAATTCCTTCTCGGCTGCATTGTAGAACATACATATCTTCGTTAGATTTATTATACAGATTCAAAATACACAAAGCCTAAAACTTCTAAAAGACGATAGTACTTTTCCAACTATAATTAATTGCTGCCAAACGCTATGCCTTTTTTATTTCTACATTTCGAACAGAAATTTTATTCTCTTTTTATTTGTCTTGTTACTATTCGCTTGGTACTTAGTTTCTTCTTTTTTTTCAATTGCATTTTCATAACTCATTATTATGAGTCTAGCTATTGATTTAATGAATAAATAAGTTTGTTGTACATATTCTTTATATCTACAGTAGATCTTAACGATTTATTATCTATCTCGATGAACTCAAAAATACTGATGTTGACTATTCTCAAAAAGTTAGAGCTTAATTAGTTTAGCATTTGTGTTACTCATATGACAATTGTGGGAAATCATGCCATCATTTTTTATGTTTATCATGTAATCGCTTATCTACTCGAATATGAGAAACTGCGTAATTTAGAATATTAGCAAAACATATTCCATCTTTTTAAATTTCAACGAATATTGTATAATGTTCTAGAACCTTCTAAGCCTTGTTATTAATATCCTTCTGCGACTTTAATTCCGATTGTTAAGGTTTGTAATAGATAGCCGCTAAGCAAGTTCCACAAATAGGACAGTAAATATCAATTCATATTCTTATTGTCGCTTACTAAAGTTAATCCATTTATAAGTAGACAGATGAGCGTCAAAAATGTTCAATTGCATCATTTTACATTATTGTCAACCATAATTTTAATTCTTATTTATTCCGATAGTTTTTAGTGATTGAATTCCAAACCTGCATCTACATTGCTGTTATTCATCTTTTTTGTCTCATATTTTCCTCGAATTTGCAGAATAAATATTGTTAATTAATATTTAAAGCCAGTAACAATTTTTATTTCTATTATTATTCAAGATGGATTCATTATTATAAACGCATTTTAATCTAGATATTTATCTCTCTTTGATCGATTTTATTTAATTATCTGAATGCAATATTAATTATGATTTTATTGTTTTACATAAATATGAAACTTTTTTTACATGAAAAAAAAAACACCAGCCACATAGGTGTAATATCAGCCTTATCTCTGCACGGTTAATTAGACTTTTTGAAACAGATATTTTTATTTTAGTTCCTCATCAATCACTGTACATTGAATTCTGAAGTCAAAAGGTTTGATAGGTTTTTGGCATTGTGAAAAGTACTAATATGCATTTGAAAATGAAATTGGCTTCATTTTTTCAAAAAAGAAAATGATTCAAAGAAAAGCTAAGTGGTTTCACCAACAGACTCATCAAGAACTGTTACTATTAATTAACTGTAAAAAAAAATCCCTGCTAAAGTCAGATGGTTTATAACCTTTCAATTTTTTATTTTCCAATCATGTATTTCAAATTAGTACAATGAGCGAATACACATCTCTTAGATAATATACAAATAATTTTTTGTGTCGTAACTCTTGTTTCTGAGTCTTCAACTCTTTTGCCCAAGCACAGATGTCATTTGATACATAGTCATTATAAAAAAGCATTAGTTAACACAATAAATAATCACAATAATATCTAATTCTTTTCTTCTATTCTCAGCATCTCTCTGTGAAAAACCTCTTTATACCTTAATTCAACCAACTGGAGTTCATGCCGACCCCAATGGAAAACAAATGCTTCAAAGATGTACATTGTTACTGTTGCTCATAGATAATGAAGAAGTGAAATCAGTCTATATTAATAGTGCACACCATTACTATTCAATGTAATCTAAATTAAAACGATAAAATTCGATCATTATATTTAGGTACTATTCCAATCAGGCTGACAGAAGTCGAACACTTTATAAGTGGACGAATCAACATTAACCTTCACTAGAAAAGACTATGAACTGTAGCATAACACCTAAATGGCAATAAAACTCGTATCAACTTTTTTCTTACACAGAGTTTAACAATTAATAAAGAAACTCCATGTGCAAGTTCTTCTCATTATTTACTTAATGATCATTATTATTACTAGAAGTTATGAATTTTAAATACTATGAAAGTGATGAGTTGCGCTGCACGTCTCTCATTGAAAGTTATTTTATTTTCTTGAACATCATGAAAATGTAAGACATAAATTAAGATCGAACATTGAATAGTTCAATTTGAAGATCCCATAATGCATCAAATTATTGCAACTAAGTGTATGATATTTATAGGGACATCGCTGTTCATTCAACGTGGAGATGGTATAATGAAGCATTGAATAGCAAATGATAATATCATTAGTTATGATAAAATGGCACAATTTGATTATAAAACCGCCCACATTTCAAGCTATACATTATATTAGAAAAATGTATAGGTAGAACGCAACTTGATAAGGACGTGGGTGTACATTGATTATACTTCTTGTAGCTAATTTCATGTGTATACAGGATGATTCACTTATTTTTAGTAGTTTTCTTCAGTTTATTGTATTTGTACAAAACGTCGGAAATTTTTTATTTATATATGATTAGATAGAGCGTTAATTATTCTATCCAGCGGTATAGTTTTCACTTGATTTGATTTATGTGTTGGTCAAAAAATCAGTAAGTTTCGTGAAGTAGGCAAAAAAAAAATTTTTTTTCTGTGGAATTCTGAGATGCTTTCTTCGAGTAATTATATCGTATTGGACAAATGAATATATTTGGTTTTTGAATAGTTAGATAGAGAATTCATTACTCTATCGAACTATATACTTTTTATCACTTTATTTTCCACTTTTGACTCAAAAATTTAGTGAATATTTAACAAATTTTCTTAGAT